AAATTCGGCGGACAGGCGGCGGTTTCTCGCAAGTGAAGCGGAGCGCTGGATTGACAGACAGAGGCGGGCACAAGTGAAGAAAAAAAATTTTTTTTTAAACCTTTAATTAAACATCAGTACAATACAAATGGAATTAAACAGTACTACAATAATGGTGTTGTACTTACAAAAGAATTGTATGCATAGATAAACAAATACAAGAACAGTATTCAGAAACAACAATATAAATATGCTAGGGGGAAGAAAAGTTGTTTTAAGGTGGGTATTTCGAAGTCGCAGAAGTGTGACGTCACAAGAAGGTGATTGGTCACTTGCAATGTTGAACTTGGAACAACATTTATTATGATGATATGGGAACAACGCCAACACGAGGATATCAGATCGTCCGTGCGGAGTGCAGGATGTCTAATCTCTGTTTGGGTGGAACGAGTAAAAATAGCAGAGGATGGTTTCGATCCATCGACCTCTGGGTTATGGGCCCAGCACGCTTCCGCTGCGCCACTCTGCTCACACAGGAGAAGCTGTCGCAAAGCTCTTCACATGGCTCAGCTGTTTTGCATTCTTATCACAGAAAGGGGGCCTTCTTACATAATTTGCAACCACTGTTTCCTGCTGACAAGAGGAGGTGGTTAGTTATATAGAGAGGGGCTCAACAGAGGGGAGAGGGTTTAGAGAACCGGGCAGAAAAATGCTGTAATGGCAGAGAAGGTGATGGGAATACAAAGGAAGGAATTCTTTTAAATATGTCAAGTATATTTTTCACAGAGCTTAAAAGCAGAAGTCGTGTGTATGTTACAGTATTGTGTGCTCTGTGATTTCAGCAGTCTGTCCCGCATCTGTGTGAGGTGTTTTATATTCGATCGTTTATATATATATTTTTTCTTAATGGTGCATTTTTAAGGAGAACTGACTAATTAGCTCCATTCATGCAAAATTAAAGAGAGGGAGGCTTTCCAAACCGAACAGGCTCCTCTTTGTCTGTGAGAGGAAACTAGGTCATTCGTTCTCATTGTCAGAGGAAGAAGCAGGAGGCGCTGCTTAATGGGCAGAAAAACAATCAGAAGAAGAGAGAGCGTACAAGCAGAAAAGTTACGAAATGTACAGTCGGCAAGACACTGCACACGTGGGATCAGATATCCCCGCTGAGGGACAATATATTAGTTGCATAACTGAGAGCGCTAACGTTAAACAATATGGCTCAAAGTCCACGTGCAGTCTGATTAATTGTATGTTTCGCTCTGTAAGTCATTCTCTGTATCACCAGTGCAGCACAGTCATTGGTGGATTCTTCCTTTCCCCTCTATCCAGGACACAAAATGTAGCCGCGCATGTTCTGTTGGCTGTAGATCCAATGACAAACATGCTCATGTTTGTTGAAGAGGTGAACAAATCAATCTGTGAATACACCTTTGCACTTTTTAGATGAGATTAAAGCAGCATTTCCCCGAACTTCATTCGTTCGGTGTGAACTTTGAATGCGAGAGCTCATTGCAGGGAACTTGAAACAATGAGATGAAAGCGTAAGCTCTCGGCCAGACTGGTCTGAACTGGTCTGAACTGCTGATTATTTTCCCTTTTTTCCCTCTCCTCCCAAGCACATGCTGTCTTACTAAATAAACTCTCTCACGGGGATCAGACGATTCTTGGTGTAGCCATATATATGTGTGTGTGCATGAATGACTGCATTCAGTGAGATGGTCACTCGAGCCCTGACTGACTGACACTAATCTAAACTTTAAAAAGTTTTCACATAGTGCTTCTAATCAGCTCCTAATTTGCCCTACTTTGATCTTGTTACACAATCAGTTACTATGGTAATGTGAACTGTGACCTTGAACCACAGGTACTGTACAGTAATCCCTGTGTTCTTCCCCCCTCCACTGAAAAAACAAACTATGCAGCAACTTTGGCCCTCTTTCCTCTCTGTTATTATGCTGTGGGGGTCTGTGTGCTGGCTTATAGACTCCAGCAGAACATCCCCTCCTCCTCTGCCAAAGGCATAAACAAAGAAGACAAGTCTAGGAGTGAATTAGTCCCTCCGTGTCCTCTGTGAACTTGTTGTGATGATGGCTAATGTTCTTTCGTTCTTGTTTTATTGCCAAGTTGGGATTGATTCGGTTTTCCGAGGATTCAGATGCTGCTTAGGTTTTGACCAATTTATCCTGTAAACTCTGTTTAAGCAGAACTGAAAACCTCACAGGGCTGAGACAACATGTGTGAAAAGGACACTAACGGTCTCTCTGTCGCTCTAGGCTTTGCTTCCATTAATACCCCGAGCTGTGCTCCGCTCCAAATTTTTGTTCCAATATATTCCTCACCCTCAGCTCAAAAACATGTTTACACATCCCTGCCCTCTCTCTGCCTGTCTGCTCTTTCCCCTCGTTCTCCTCCCTCTTCCAGTCTCCTGTTTCCTGATCTACTCACTCCTCCTCCCAGTTTTCCCCACATGTTCTGCTGATTTTACAGAAAAACAGAGCATATTCCGCAACTTTTCCTTGTTTCCTCAATACTTCCCAGCTGGAAAGCACAGTGTGTCCACATCAGCCAATGCTCAGCAGCTCTGTTACAACCTGACTCTGCCACTTACGCACACGTGATCAACAGGCCGAGATAAAAACAGAAACAGATGGCGTGTGTTTGACTTTGATGAAATAGGAGAAGTGAGCATGAGTGCGTCATGTAGTTATGCAGCTGCCAAACACTGGTTATAAAGTTAGATTTTATTCTTGGGCATATTTAAATAGTCAGCAGAAGACATTTAGAAAGGTTTTTAAATTAGCGACATCAGGTAGCAAAAGCCTGGCACAATGACTAAGCTGAATAACAGCAGAGTATAAATAGATTTAATGTCACACATCCTAAATTAGACACCCCTCCCTACCACTGGTTAAGGTTTGACCGAGGCATATCCACATGGAGAAGAACATGTACCAGTGGTGAAGTCTGAAAATGAAATAAACAGGCACCACACTGTTTCTGGAAGACATAAAATAGTCCCTGAAGACAAATATGGCATATAAGAAGATCGTGGCCTGATCTATAACACAAAAATCTTCTGTATATCTTTCTTTATGTTTTCACTCCTATTCGATCTACTTTTTAATGCCGATCATAAAGGCTTTCCGCTTGCCAACAGATAGTCACCACTCTAGTTTATCTTTTGTCTGACTGTATATATTCCAAAGTGGCCTCTTGAACAGGACACAGAGTTCACTGAACTCAAATGATCTCCACAGTCACCAAATCTAAATCCAACAGAGCTCCTTTTGGATGTGGTGGAAAGAGAAACGTATCATGCACGTGCAGCTGACAAATCTGCAGCAACTGAGTGATGCTATCATGTCGATATTGAGCAAAATCTCTGAGGAAAGTTTGTAGCGCCTTGCTGAATCTATATTGCATAGAATTAATGCAGCTCTGAACCCAAAAGGGGGTCCCAACCCAAAACTAGCCAGGTGTACATAAATACTAGTAAGGGTTGCAGTAACGTCACAGGACTCTGAAAGCCCGAGCTGTTGGAGTCAGTGGACTATACTGGACGTATCACTACAAAATAAACTGATTAAGTAGTCAGATAAAAAAAAGTTTGAAATTAAGTGCCGTAACATGTCACATCTGTGAAGGCAACAAGCACGGAACAAGCATACACATCCAGGGGTTCAGTTACATGAACATGTTACTAACTGTTTCTGCAGTTACCTGTCACTGCAAGTTGTTTACTTGAACCTGCTTAGCAGAGACAGAAAGAAACAGCACCAGGGTCGTGTAAAGGGCAAAAACACTGTGCAGACATGGAGGAGTAGAGAGCAACAAGCAGCCTGAGAAGACACAGATAACACATCTATCTCACAGACAGCCAGCAAGGTTCTTTGTTATAGTTGCACTGTAAGAGCAGAGGGAGAATTGCAAAGTGTAAAATCAAAGTTTGCACCATTGCACTACATGAAACACACATGAGTATGATTCATTTATGCAAACATTTACGGCAACTATAAATCCAAGCATTCTGCCTTCATTCTGTCTAACTTGTATGTCATAATAAATCACATCAGTTTACAGCAAACTGGACAATTAGGGTGAAAAACATGCCCCCACACACATACTCTCTTCCTAGAAGTCTACTGTTACTTCTAGGAAGTAAATTCTGTAGGGTTTGTTTGTAACTTCTCTTACTGTAACTCGATGAAGGTCAACAACAGCTGGAGAAAGATTTAGAGCTCCATCTGGGACAGGAGGATGTTAGTTTTTAGATTGGCTGTGCCCAAATATTGTCTCCAACAGAGATATACATTGTTAGACCTGGCATGAAATAATCTGTCATCGGCACGAGTGTGATCAGCTTTAACCCGGAATCGACACAGAAAATAAAGTCACGGCAGCACGAACCTGACATTTTCAACCAGGCTCCAACAACATATTTTATATCTTTACAGAGAAAAGATGCTCAGTTTTAATCTGTTGCTCAGCTCCCAGGAGAAGCATTGCAAGTACAATTCAACTCAAATGGGATTTTGCTGATTTTGTTGTTTTGGTACTGTAGAGTCAGCGTGATCACAGGAGACTAAGTGGTCAGCTGTTTACACTTAAACACTGCAAACAAGGTCTATATGGTAAAACAAAAACAAGAAGGCGACAGAAAGGCCCTCAGGCGTGAAATTAGATCAGTGAAACACAGAGTGGCAATCTCCACTGATCAGAAGAAGACAGCTGGATAATCACATTACCAATCATCTTGCCTGTGAAGCAAACTGGATTATCTTCAGTTTGTATAACAACTGATAAGTGAACTTGTGAACAGCATTTTGTAGAGCGCTTCATTTACACCATTATGAAGGAACAGAACAAAGTTTTCTTAGTTTGGAGCATGGAGTTCAGTTTGTTTATTAGTTTGTTTCTTAGGTTTTCTCTTGGAAGAAAGAGAGACAGCAAGCGAAGGAGGGGGAGGGAGAGAGAGGGAGGGATTACCGGCTCCCCCAGTAGGCGGAGAAACCGGGCGGGTACAAATACGCGCTCTGATCCTCTCTACGCGCTTAGTAGAGAACAAGGGATAACCGGCTGTAAACTAAAAGCCAAACCGGGACTATACATTGTATTTGACAGGTAATTTTGATTTACTTCATCAACCTTTCTGCCACTCTGTAACTTCAGACCTGCCGTGTTATCGGCGGGAGTAGTGTTCAGCTCACAGCCGGAGAGACTGCCTCGTGTAGGAGCACATGACGCTAGGGATGGGTTTGATTTCATCATCTTAAAGGAAGATGGAATTATACGATATCACACAGCTTTTGGAGTTGTTATTGCTACCGGGTCGATTTTAGCTTGTGTTCGGTGAAAGTTTCACAGACAGTTACGGTGTACTTGTTTGAAGAGGTTTTATTTAATGACTGTTGAAGCGAACTGGAACAAACCGGTCAACTACTGAATTTCCGCTTTACACCCCTTTAATCTTAAAGCCATGTGTGTATTATGTTATATTAGACTGTCAGAGAGCTACTTGTTGGGGTGTTTTTTTTCCTTTGTTTTTTAACTAACAAATTTTCACTGTCGTTTACTCGTGACATTTGTTTAAATCGTTTTCTTAATAAGTCTATGCTTGCTATTGTTATGCTCTTATTATGAAGGGTAGCTGCAGTATTTCCGTAACTCGAGGCGGTCAGCCTACTGCTGCCTACTACTACTTCTTACGTTAAGCGGTCAGCTTAACGTAAGAAGTAGTAGTTGTTTCATCAGACACCGGTGGAACATATGAGCGTCTCAGGAATGGGTCTTCCGTTTATTTGAAAGTTGTTGTTTTTTTTTTATTTACAGCTGATATTTTTGTTGCTAGCGTTTTGAGCGGGTTTTGAAGTGTGACTGACATGAACTAGTTTTTGTTTTTTAGTTTTTAATGAGCGCTTTGTAAGGAAAAACAAACAAGAGCTTGCGTCTATTTAAGTAGGGAACCGCACCGCCACTCCTGTTTAATTCCTACATAAAAACTGGGTTACCTTAATGAATCTAGTCGTTGCCTGTATGTCCTATGTAGGGGGGGATGTGTTACATAAGGATGGCCAAAAGGCGAGGGGATGAGACTTGGCCGGTGCTGCCTTAAAAAAATAAAACTCCTTTTGGTGGTCTTGTTTTTATTTAGCTCTTGGGTGTTAGCCAATGAGTGCTTTTGCAGATACAGTTATTAATTCATATTTTTCCTTTGTGCTCCACCTCCAGTTAAACCATGAATAAAGACACAGAGATCGACATGAAAGAAGTGGAGCTCAACGAGCTCGACCCAGAGAAGCAGCCCATGACGGGGGACGGTCAGGCTCCAGGCGGGGAGAAAAACGGCAGCGTCAAGCTGAAAGTTCCCGATGATGAGGTTACCTTCACCGGGCTGTCCAAAGAGGAGCTGATGAAGGTTGCTGGCACTCCAGGGTAAGAGCTGCAGCTAAGAGCTGTCTTCCTCTGTGGGCGTTAAAATAAGTGGACATTTTTACATTATTATTTTCTTCCACAGATGGGTGAGGACCCGCTGGGTTCTTCTTGTCCTCTTTTGGTTGGGCTGGATTGGCATGCTTGCTGGAGCCATTGTAATCATAGTCCAGGCTCCTCGCTGCAAGGCTATTCCTGAGATGAACTGGTGGAATGAAGGGCCTGTCTACCAGATCACTGACCTTGAAGCGTTCTCTGGAGGATTGAAAGGTAGACTATTTGTGGAGAGCTTATGAAGCTGATAAAGTGGTTTTATTCTTGCAAGTTTAAAAAAAAAAGGGTTTGTTTTTTATTGCGCTGCCATGTTTATTCCCAAAATGAGAGTTGGAGGTTGCACTTAAAGTGCCCCAGTCTTGAGTTGGGTAACATGCTCTGACTTGCATGGATAACGTCTTGTGACGGTCTCTTGGCTTTCATTAGTTCTCTGTGGCCTGTGTCAGCTGTCTAGATATCAAATTGCTGACTAGGCTGCCAAAGTCTGACTAAAGGTCTTAAGACCATTTTAAAAGAAGAAGAAAAAAATGAACACGTCATCTGTTTCATATCTCTATTCAGATATGGCCAAGTTGAGCAACTCTGGAATATATCAAGATGTCGTGATCTGTACATACCAAAAAAATTGTTTACTGCAGGCTTTTAAAATCGGGAAGGAAGAACAGTGCTTACTACTGTTCATAAAGTGAACTGGTGGGGAGCACTTGGTTTTAACAGGCTTTGGGTGGAATTCCAAAAACTCCATGTGACTCAGTTTTGTTCTCTTTATCAAAGCCACCCTTGTGCTCAGGCTTCACATGGGCAGCAGAGGGAATGGCTGGGATCCTTCACATAGTCTTGCAAGCACTGCGGTGCTACAGTCTGAACTATCAACATGTGTCTAAAGCTGTCTGTCCTTTGTCCCTAACCTGCTCACACCCTCGTTTTTCTGCCTTATGTGAAATTTACACTGACCCAGCATTTTATTTACTACGTTTGTTTTTTCTTCTTATTTTTTCTTTCAGGTGTTGAAGAAAAGTTGGATGACATTAACCAGCTAAAGGTGAAAAGCCTGGTAATCGGACCTCTTCATACTGTCCAGGCCAACCAGATGACTGGTCTGAACCTTCAAGAAATTAGTGCAGAGCTTGGAAAAGCTGAAGATCTCGACAGCTTGTTGAAGGCGGCCCACAAAAAGGGTACGTAATTGTCTGATTTCAGATCAGTTACTTGCTAAATCGTTCACACTAAAAGAGTAACTGGTGCTCTGTTCTTTCATTAAGAGTGGCTTCTATTTATTGCTGGATTCTGTACTCTTGAGGGCCAGATGTGAGCAAACATTGCTGTTTCTTTCAGGCATTTCTGTGGTGCTTGACCTGACTCCAAACTACAAAGGAAATCCTGTGTGGTTTGATAAAACAGACCTTACAGAAATAATGGAAAAAGTCAAGGTAAGCACACAGATTTAAGCTTTAATTATTTGCAGTAAGAAGGCATATTAAGCAACATCACTATCTTTACATGTGATAAACAAATGGCACATTTTTGACTTTTTGACAGATGATTAAATTGGACATTATATACTGTGGTGTAGATTCGGGTCTTGCTGCCACTGTAGTTAATTTGAATCTGTTCTCTTCTAGACTGCAGCTGAGTTCTGGCTGAGTAAGGGTGTTGATGGCATCAAGATATCTGACCTTGGCATTGCCTCCATCAGTCCTGAATGGGCCAAACTGCGGATGGCGGTCCAGGGAAATGGCACTGATGACACCAAGAAGAGGTTTGTGTGGCTGCTATGTTCTGACCTTTGATTCAGCACAAGTAAACAATGTTGACCACTAAACGGGGTATTTTATTTTAGATTCTTAACTTTAGCTATTATCCACACACATAACAAAGTTGTAGGGCTTATCTGTCCTGGAAAAGTCATTTTAAAAGCATCAGTAAAATATCAGGTACAGGATACTTTGTTCTGAGAGAACATGGACATGAAAAATAGTCCCATCAACATTCAAGGAAGTGTTTCAAGATGTATAACAAGTACAAGTTCTAGACTGACCTGATCCTGTTCTCTTTTCTTTAGGGCTCTGATGGGTGTGGTCAACAATATTTCAGCTAATGAGGTGTCTCAGCTAGTCAATGTCTCTGGTGTCGATCTAATCTTGTCTGACCTGCTCAGTAGAAACACGAAAGGTAGGCTGCTACTGTTTGCATAGTAGTGATTATTATTATTAGTGACAATAATCCTAAGTAAATGTCAAAAAGGTGCATTGTAGATGATTATGGTACCTGAATATCTGCAGGTAAAGAGCGCATTGAGGTCCTGAAGACCCTCCACTCTGAGCAGAGAAAAATAGGCTGGGGTCTCGGTGCTGCTCAGAAGGACCATCTGTCTAAACAGGCAACGACTTGGGGCCTAATTCGTCTCTACCAGCTTCTGCTCTTCACCTTGCCTGGAACCCCTGTGTTTACCTACGGAGATGAAATTGGCCTTCAGGCAAATCAGATGAGCAGCAAAGCAAACCAGACCAGAGAAGCTCCGAAGATGGTTTGGAATGTAGAGAAGGAAGAAACTGACGGTGCTAAGGTAAGTGTGGGTGTGTTCAGTCTGTCACTGATCAAGCGTTCGTTTGCTTTAAGTGCAGTAAAGCATTTTCTTGAATTTCATTTACAGTCTAACCATACTGAATACGCTGAAATAAGGAAGTGGTTCAGATCCCTCAGTGACCTGCGAGGCAAAGAGCGCTCCCTCCTGCACGGCGACTACTATAGTCTCTACAGCTCTGCCAAGTCTCTCTCTTTCCTTCGTGTGTGGGATCAGAGCGAGAGATACATAACAGCTGTAAACTGGGGAGATGGCCTCGAGGAGCTGAAATTAAGTCTGGAACCCACAGGCAAGTTACAGTTCAACGGACATGTCTACTGACGATATCTAGCAATATCTATTAACTCTGCTATTTATTTTAAACTTGACGACCTTTGTTTGTGCAGAGGGGGTAGAGCTACCAGAAACGGCCAAGGTGAAGCTGTCAACTGACCAAGAATTTGAGGTGGACTCGACTGTAAACCTGAAAGACCTCAAGCTCAAAGCCGGACAAGCACTGCTTCTGCAGTTCCCCTACACGGGCTAAAGATGGCGCCAAAGGATAGGAAAGCTGCATACTGAATAGTGTTGCTCTTAATGCAGTTTCTGAATACATTCTTATGGATTAAAACTGCATTAAGTAGATACATTTCAGTCTGACAGAACATAAATTTAGTGGGTTAAATGAAACATGCAGTTTAAAAATGTTTAAAACATTAGCTAGTGCAATAACACTACATTGTTCAAATGTGTGAAAGACATTCCATTCCTGGTTCTTTGAGCATTTTTCTTAAGTTGTGCTGTTTATGGTTTCTAGAAATCTTACATTTTCCTTTTTAGTGACTTTATGAACCTTTGGGGGAGAGTTTTTGTAACTCGCACAGGAAAAAGAAGTAAAGTTTGGATGCATGATGTTCGAGTCTGTCAAGTGAAAAGAATAAACGGCATTCTGCTCAACCGCATATTCGTGTTTTTGTGTTTGTGTGCAAGGCGCCTTTAAGAGTTGTGTTTACGCTGATAATATCACATAAGATGTTGACGGTGTTTATGCAGGAGATAATATCAAATGAGACGTTCATTGTTTTCACTGCATTACAGGTGTGTATGTGTGAAAGTGTGTCACAGATGTGAACGGAGGAAGTGTTTATTTTATCAACGCCTTGAGATGGGTTTTTATAGACTCAGCAGACACACCTATGAGTCTCACTAAAGGGGTCACACACCTGTCCATGGCTCTCTTAAAGTAACTCTATGGACAAAATCCTCTACATTACAGTACACACAGCTTCACATGTGGCAGGCAGATGAAATAACTGGCAGAAATTCAGCAACAAAGAGTTCCTAGTACAGCATGTTTCACGATGGGCTTTGAAATTAATCTTCTAAATAAAGTGGCTTTATGAGCCATTATCTTCCTGATAAATGAATCAGCGATTGATAAAATCAGCTAGACAAATGAGTAGTTGGTTACAAATGTCTACTGTCTGTACGTGTGCCACAGTTATAAACTTATGAAGTCTCATGTAAGTTTAGAGGGGGAAAAAAGTTATAAGTGACTTTTTTTAAAGCAACATTTAAGTTATTTCGCTAGAGACTGTAATTCCAAATTCACGAGGCTCATGTTTAGACGGCTTCAATGGGATGAACTTTTTCTTTTCTTTTTTTTGCCCGACCAAATATCAAGTTTAAGCATTGACCTGTCTGATTAGGAAGAATATGTAATATTTATATATTTGTTACCCATTTAATTTATTGATATTCAACAACAGTCTGTGGTTTTGCCATTTACACTGACATTCATCGTTTGCCTTTTTTTAAAACCACGTTTTCTTGTTACTTGTATATAAAAATATATAACAGCTATAATTAATCCCTTAACTCTGCAGTGTACAATCTGATGTCAGTCCTGAAACCTCCCAAATAGAAAATGTAGGTTTTTTAAAAATTGAAATACAAGAATTAATTATAAAGAGGATTTCATCAGCCAACACAATAGCACATAAAAACAGCTACTATTACTACTAAGCACTGTACTCATGTACACTTATATATATGCACATCTGTGAATATGTTGCTGATAAATGGCAGCGATGCAGCTCAGAGCTTTTATACCAATGATACCAATTTATATCCCGACATGTAGTTAATGTATGAGTACAATGATGTTCTACAATTTCATACATTATATTACTATCTTATTAATACAAACATCTTTTTTGTTTGAGTATATATTTCACTGTAGTTAACATTTAATTGAATTAATACTATACAATACATATTCATGTCTGTTTCATTTTGTTGCATTAACATATTTTGTTGAATAACCAGTAACTGTGACTGTATATGTGAGGTGGGTAAAGAGTGCAACATTTGTCTCCACAATGGAGTAAATAAAACTTTAAATTAGTACAAATGAATCAAAATGACCTTAAAGTGGTGGCGCTTTTAGTCCGGCACTTAAATGAATGCATAGCTCTATATTGCCGATTATACCTCCGTGCTATAGTTTGAGCAGCAAACTTGAGCCGTTGACGTTTTCTTCTACTCGAATATTTCTCCATAAGGGGGTTTTGCTTGTAACTAATTTTACACCAAAACAATGTTGATTCTGTAATGATCCATCTGAAAAACAACAATCACTTTCATATTCTTAAAATCGTCCTACAAATATCACTTTTATCTTAGTTAGAATCATCATAATCCATTGTATGTACGTAATTTTGATCCTTCAGATAGTTACTGAAGCTATTTTAAGATTCAGAGGGGGAAAAAAAGTCTAGTTTTTGTTCAATCATGTTTTGCATTTATCTTTGGGACTGTCAAAATGCTGTGCTTGGTACAAAATCCACATTTGAAAAGCTCAAAATGATGCAGGCTAGCTGCACACTATGGCAGTCTGGCTTTCTTTGATATACTGAAAAGCATGAAAAGCGTGCTTTATGAATGGAGAAGCCTTGCTTTGTAATACAATGCCATAAAACGTGTCAATTTCTCATTTAAAAACACTGCTTTAAGCCCACTCTTTTGATAAAAATGTCAAACAATTCCTCTGACACGTGAAACTAAACTCAGTAGAGTTTCGGGGTCTTGATACAATACAGGGCCGCCGTGCTGTGGTATCACAGGGGAGGTTTGAAGATGATGATACCGGGAATCAGAGCCCGTGTCGCACCTATGCTTGCACCCCACGCCGCTGCGAAACCAAACCACCGCCATGCACACTCATGACTGACTCTCAGTCTGAGTCTGACAGATACAGATGCACCTTTTACATCACAGTGTCATGAAGATACATGACCTTTCTTAAGCTTTCATGGAACACTGCAGCTAGTGAAATACAGTACTGTAATTTAGTTAGAGTGGAAAGCCAGAAAGCAAAGTGAGCACAAGATATTCTCGTTTCACACAGCAATTACAAAGCCAGTCGCTAATTTATACTAATGAACAATTGAATACACCTCTTGTTTTGGTAATATTCATTCGTATATACAAGAGGATTTATTGCCTAGATATACACACGTTTTAAACTTGTTCCCAGTAAAGACTTTGTGTAAAACAAAGGTGTAAAACTCCTTTTAGTTCATGGGACACATACAGCCCCATTTCACCTGTAAAATCAATACATCACAAACGCCCCTCCAAAATTTCCAGTGACTTCAGGTGTAAAGACGTAGATTCTTTAACTCCGACTTGTCCATCGCAAAGATTTTAAAAAGGCATTAAATAATTTTTCTCATTTAATGACCATTTATGAAATGATCCACTGCCTCTCATTTAATGATCACTGAAGATATCTTCAGGGTTTTAAACTGATTTTCAACACACTGATTCTACCATCAACACATACGCATCACAGGTCACAGTGGAAAGATGCAGAACCGTCACACCTATAGATTTTGTAGATAAAGAATACTGGTATTTCACACCTTTATGATTCATCTTATTCTGACCTAAAAATAGTTGTAATTTTCCAAAGGTTTTAACTGGTATTAATGAGCCTGGACAGCATTTTTTAAAGCCATCCAGTGAGCTGAATATGATCTTTTGGCAGGTAGTTCTGGCCCTCTGGCCACAAGTTTCACACTGCTGTTGTAATCACTTTCACTCCATACTTACAGTGAGCCAGGTCACCATATCACCATATATTAGTATAGGAGCAAGAATTTTATTAGAATACAGTAAACTCGTTACATAGTTTAATGCATTTGTTAACACTTTCTAAATATTTGTTACTATTCACCCTGGAGAAGTGAAGTCTTAATTTATTTATGATAGCTATAGATACAGTGTGTGAAAAATAACGCTTAGTAAAGTACAAAAACATCCACTCACCAGCCATTTGATTAGTTAGTAGAGTTCGGTAGGAGGGGTTGGACGCCTATTTACCTTCAGACTTGTTTTAATTCTTCATGTCACAGATTAAAAAGGGTGCTGCAAAATTCCCTCTGAGATTTGGGGCGATAATAACACACAGTTGCTGCAGATTTGTCTGTTGTACATCCATGATACTCAACTCCCGTTCCACCAAAAGATGCTCTACTGGATCCAGTTACAGGAGTGTCACGTGGTGTGGTCTTCCGCTGCTGTAGCCCGTTTGCTTTATGTGCTGCTTGACCAGAGATGCCCTTCTGTAAGGATTGTTGCCTTCATGTCACCTCAAAGCAATTTGGCTATTCTCCTCTGACCTCAACCAGATAGTCTCACCCAGAGAACTGCCGCTCATTGATATTTTCTCTCTTTTTTTTTAGCGCATCCTCTGTAAACCCTAGAGATTGTTGTGTGGGAAAATCCCAGTACATCAGCAGTTTCTGAAATACTCAGATCAACCTGTCTTGCACCAATAACTACATCACGTTTAAAGTCATTAAATCACTTTTCTCAGCTTGAACGTGTCTTGAACGTGTCTGCGGGCATAACTGCACTTGGTGTGAGTGACTGATAAGATTTATTTTTTAAGGAGGAATTGTACATAACGAAGTGGCCGGTGAGTGTGTTGTGCATTGTCTTTATTTAGATAAACAGATAAAAACACTGACACCAAACCTATTTCTACAGCAAGCCAGAAGCTAAAGCCAGAAGCTAAATAACTTCAAGTTAACTTAAGCTTAAAACAAAAGTTAAAAATCTCTGTTAAGCTAACAAAGCTCACACAGAACATTTTTTCCCATTAATAAATACTCCGAGTTTCTCTCCTATTCACTGTTTTTTATCCTTTCCCTTTCTTGTCTTTTTTCTTCTCTGAGTCAGATTTTATGCCAGCCCTACCTCTCCTGCTAACACGTTCCCCACTGTGCGGCCTTGAAGCCCGAACAAGGTACGTTGAAGTCAAAAAATATCTAAATATACATTTCTCTTGGAATTGGTAAAAACTTCTTAAAGAAATGTGTGTTCACCCTTTTTTGTTGTGAGACAGAGAACTTTAATAAAAACAACAAATAGGTCCGAAAAAATAAATAAATAAAATAGGCTAGCTTGACTTAATGTCGAGGTAACAAACTAGCTTGCAGCACCTTAGCTAATTAAAATGCTGCATCATCACGGTCTAATTTATCTTATGGCGGTATGAACATATTTAGGCGGGTTTTGAATGTCAATCCAAGCTTTATTAGTTTTTTTTAGCTGATATTTTATCCTATTAATGACAGAAAGATGATTCGCCTTTTTCAAAATGCTTGTAATAAGGCGAAATTACATAATAAGTTCATAATTAAATTGCCATTTATGAGCAACATTACTGATTCCAGGCTTCAATTGTTTCAAATCAGTTTCACAGAAGTAAAGTTTATTAGCCAGGCTATAATTGCACTACTAGGTTCACCTGCAAATCAATTTTGTGTATTTATTAAAGCACTTTTATTTACGTTGTTAGCTTTAGAGGCGCCAATAAGTAGAATTTAGTTCCCTAAGATCTAGCTGCTGCTCCGTGTTCCCGTACTCACTCACTGCTGGCTGCAGACGGCCCATTCATCATAAATGTATGAGAGTTGTTGTGATCTTCTCAGTTAACTGATGGCAAGAGAACAAACAAGCATGTTTCCTCTAATGTATTTAACTTTCCCTTTCGCTTAAACTGAACCCCACACCAACATTGATTTTAACTTCCTTGTCTGAGAAAACAAGAGAAACACCATATATTCTGTTGTAATGGCAAATACTTTGACCATACACAGATCGGACCTGGACTCTCTACCAGACTGCAGTATTTAAAAGCTGATTATTCAGTGCATTTGGGTTTCTCTGGGGTCCTGCTTGTGTTTTAGGGTGTGTGTGTTTGGGTGTGTGGCCCTTTAAAAACAAACAGACCAAAAGAAGACCATAAGAAAAAATGAGGGATGAGAGAGGAGAAAAAACACCCACTCAAACTGAAAGTGTGCATATGTATGCATGTATATGTATGTGTGTGTGTGTGTGAGGTTAAAGCCACACGCCGGGGTGTTTTTTCTTCTCTTTCCAGCATCACTATGACACAGCTCGTAATACACACACACACACACAGAAATGCATGCACACATACACACACACACATACACGCACGGTGGCGTTATGACAAGGTTGATCAAAGACTGAAAGAGCGACAGGCCGATCATCTTTGGTGAAACTACGTTTCTCTCGCTCACCGTGTCACTCTCCACCCCTTTTCTCACACACATGTCTACCTACCAGCAGACCATACACACATGCATTTCACTGCCACTGGGACAGCTCTCCTCGTGATGACAACTTAACAGGTAAAAAGACGGTTTTTGTTCTAATTTCAGTGTTTTTGTTTCTTTAAACAAAGCACTGTGGGGCAGGACTGTTTTTCAGAATACATTTAGAGAAGATTTAACGGTAAAACCCTGGGTCCCAGCATTAGCACAGTTAGCATACTCACGCAGAAATGAAACACACCTGTCCTGTCCAGTCTTAGCTATCATCATTTACCAGTTAATTTAAATTCAGCAAAATTTAAATTCAAGGTGGACTTTTTTCCTTTTTTTTTTAAACGATTAGATATTTGTAGATTATGTCTAATCTAGTTCAGTCTAAATTCAAACATACAACATTTATCCATGAAGAATAGGATATATATTCGCAGGAATATGCATTTTATACATTATAAAAGCTGCAAGTCAGTATTAGAAGTGATTCATAATATGTTTGTACAGCTCTTAAACTTTGAGTAATGACCTAAATATGCAGGCGCGTCTCCTCCTTTCGCATTACTTGGACTGTTTTAATAAAAGCATCACTTTTATGCTTCCACTTAATCTCCTGAAAGTCTGACTGGTAGGTTCTGCGTGCATTAAATGTTTTGAGCAGCTGAAAAAGTAACTAGAAAATTCTTTTCTTCTTTTCTTTTTTTTCTTTTTATATTTTTCAAGTGACAAACTGCACACTGCTAAGTCTCAACATTACTTGTAGCATTTCAGTGTTGTTAGCCACAACATGTTGGTGTTTACACCAAACATGCTCTTATAGAGAGAGGCTTAAAACCACAAGCTTGACTTTGTTCATTGTGAACATTGTTAAGATGAAATCTGGGCCTCTGCTTACCGCTGACCAGTTACATATAAAGTTGTTGTAGTGTAGGTATTAGCCAGACAAACAGCTGCGTGTATTATGAAGTATTTATTGAATGTGGCATTGTGGGGTAACGGTGTGAAACGGCTCTTAGTCAGCTTTTAATGTTTCGACGATATTTGTTGAAGCCGTTAACATCGAGGTGTTGGAAGTTTTGGATTCTGTACTTTTCTGTTTTAAGAATATTTCGGCGATGTTAATCGTCTCCCAGTTGATTTAAATGAGGTGGACCAAACTTTAGATGAAGAGTTTTCCTTGTTGTTGCTATTTTTGTCTTCCTCCGCTTTTGTGACCTTCTTTGACATCTGCAGACAGAACGGGGGCAACAACTGCCTCTTGTGTTGTTTTTTTTAAAGTTAGGAAGTAAGGCTTCAGCGCCTGTGGCAATGATTAAAAAACATATATACAGAACTTTTTTAAATGCTCGGCTTTAAAACCCGTAGTTGAGAAACCACAATTAAGTAAAGTTATTATCTTTAAATGACTTAATTAACATTACTCTGGCCTTTTACACTCTTTCTAGAAGAGGAGGTGAAATGAGGAAGCCAAAGAAGCTGCAGTACATGCTACTTTCACCCACAGACATAAGGTGTAAAAGGCAAGGACGATTTCCAGAAAAATTCTATCATTTGTTCATATAAGTTCAGGCCACGGCAGGTATTCAAAGCTACCGAGTGAAGTAAAAGACAAGACGAAATTATTGCGCAAGAATACACCGCCGCCGCATTTAAATGCAGTAAAGTCGCAGACTTTAAAGTCTTATCGTACTCTGTCAACTTTAAGCATTTCGATGCATTCTTACCCCAGTCGGCTTTGCAAAAAGAGCTCATGTCGGGCCTGTGAGTGAACACTGACATTCAATCTTGCAGCACATTTTAGATATGCTCAGTCTTGGCCTCTGCCCTCCACTTACTCTTGACACTGACTTTTTAAATCAGGGAGCGTAGGGTTTTTTTGCTTTGTCGATTTCCCCTTCAAGTATCAAACGCTTTCCAATACTTGCTGCAGAGTCACCTTCCTGAAGCACCACGCTGCTGCTGCACAACTCCGGGTAGGAGCGTGTTGCGTGTTTTTAGTGCGTCTGCCGTAGATTTTAGTCGAACAACCAAAAAGCCCAAATTTGGTTCAGTGACTGAATTTTCTTTCACTTTATTTCCCACACGTGTTCTTACCTGCCATGTGATGTTTTTTTCGACAGCGGTTTTCACTTTGCCATAAAGCTGTAGCAGGTGAAGCATCCGGAAGGCAGTTTTTGTAAGTACAGTGTCTCCCTTCTCAACCATGGAAACCTGTATCTCCCTCTCAGTTGTTGCGGTGGCCTCTCTTACAGTCTGCCTCGCAGGATAACTTGGCCTACGGAAGATTTGCACTTCGCCCTAACAGTTGACTTTACGGAGTCTGATAATCATCACCCATTTTTACATTTCCATATCCTGAGTGGTACTTTGTTCAAACTAACGTATTTGTAAATTGCTGTGACTCAGGTTAGGCTGGGTCATCTGCTGATCAGAAGCTTTGTGGGTCAATCGCTGACTTCTCCAGTTCAAACCCTGAAATTTGAAAGATACAGAACCCTAAACTGCGATTGCGAGTGCTCATAGTTAAAAAGCGCTTAAAGGCACAGATTAATGTGATATGTGAATTTATATGGGTGAAAACACAATACGTTTGTATCAGTCCAGCTACCAGATTCATTCTTCTTTAGCTGCAAACCTGCTGCAGGAATTACGATAAAGGTGGCGAATACTACAATTCATTATTTTGTTTTATACTAGAAAATAATGTGAATGTGGCCCATTTGGAGAGACTTGTTTTCACCTTGAGTACTTTCTTACAATTTGTTGCGAAAAATTCTAAATTCTTTGCATTAATTTCATAAAAAAACAAAAGAATAAGACGTGAAAGATTCTGGGCGCCCAAATATCTCTCTCTCATTTAGAGCTGTGTTTTTTGCTCTGCTGCTGTTTCTTGGGTGCTATTGTATTCATACAGACATCAAAGTCACTGTGTAGCGTAAAACAGGTGTTAGGAATGCTAAAGAGGTGCACAATGAGGATAACAAACAAATAAATTCATCATTTAAGAACAAAGAAACACATCAATACAATTAGCAGCAGAGAGAACATAGGTAGATGCAAGCACAAGGTGCTTTTACTCTCTTATAGTTGATGCTATCTAATATGAATGCACCAGTTACTGCCTAACCACTGCTTGTGACCAGTTTCCAGTGGCCTAGCTGATAATCATCTACAGTTCTTCTCATCGGAGGTACTGTGTGGTTGCACTCATATCCTTTAGTACATAAGGGCACCTTTTTAAGTAGTGGATGACATGATACTCTTAACACCTTTTAAAAATCCTTATGAGCTTTAATTTGTTTCCTCTTAACTGTGTCACAGAAAAGTTTTAAAATTCTTTGTCCACTAGGTTATAGTGTAATATATTACATAGAAAACTGATGATAATGTCAGTGTAATTTGTTTTATTGTGATTGTTTAAAAAAAAAATCTTTTAATATTGTTACATAGTACCACTTTCTTTAATGAAAGGTTAGTTATACTAGGTTATCTTAATGATAATAGTAGATTTAGCACGGGTAAATTAAGGACATTTTATTAAGCATTTCTAGAACTGCAAATCAAAGCCCATTATGAGTTTGATATCTTCAGAGCTCTGTGACAGCTTTCCGCCCTATCCTGAAGGGTAGTTTATAGGAACTGGGCTATACTGGATATTAAAATGCAACCTACA